TGATGGCCAATAATCGCATTACCCGAAAAATATTCTTTTTTAATGTAATTTTTGGAATCTTTCCTAAGCAATTTTTTAATTTTTGAAATGGAATCTTTTCTAGTTTCCACTCAAGGTGCTCATTCTGTAATCGGGACAGTTCAAGTTGGTGGGATTGATGAATGTTTCGGACTGTGAAAGCAGTGGTTTCGGACGGCAGATGGATGGATGGATGGATACATGACGCACCATCATTATGACAAATGGATTATTGAAGTGAGTGAAAGTGATCGATTTGAAAAGACCCCAACAGATCATGAATGGATGAATGAATGGGATGGGATGGAATGGCTGATATGGAACGAGTTGATATGAAAGCAAAAATGACTTGATGACAATGGAAAGAGAACGAAATGCATTGAAAAGGAAAGGTTAGGGATGAATAGAAATAGAAAGGATGACAATCAGAAGATCTCAACAATGCTCCTGATCGTGTTCAAATGAGAACTCAGCGGTCGGTAGCCAAATGAAAAGGAATTTAATAATGAATGGCGCATGGGATTTGGTGTGGACAGAGGTGGTCAAAGAAATTGGTTGTTGAATTCATTCATTTCGATTAAGTTTATCATGCACAACATCTGCATTCATTCATCCAAAATCGTTTCGTTTATTCATCTCTTTCTGCATTCATTCATTCACGCACGTTCCTTCTTAAATTTTCATGCACAGTTACCAAATCGACGTTGTCACTGCCGTCGTCATTGTTCATTACGAAATCAGCATTAAACGTTGTCGTCTCTTTGAGCATCGTCACTTGATCGCTTCAAATCGCACTGCATTATCTCAGTTTCGACTTCCATTCACATACACCCCCAAAATGCATTCATCATAATTTCAGGTGATTGATCTCAATAGCGTTTTGCGTGTGCAATTGTTTCTGCGTGCACGTATGTGAGTGAGCGAATCTCTTTTAGTGCTGCTGCTGTGCATAATTCATTGAAAGATCTCGCCTTGTGGTGATATCGCTTCATCCGGGATATGAAATCGCCCGGATACATTATCTCACATCACATTCAGAACTTCTTCTACCACCTCGGATTGTATGCCTACAGGTTTGTTGTTTCGAATGTTACCAAATGTTACTTTTATTTATCGTTACTATTGCAGTGAAACATTTTTTTAATGGATTGAGTTCGTTAGAATATTGCGATCATGAAATGACAACCTTGCATTTGCTAGTTATTGTGCGAGCTCGGGTTCGGATCCGTCGAGAAATCCGTATTGAAATTTAATATCATTCGTTGCGCGCGTTTGGATGTTTTGTCATATGTCTTCAATCGTGACGATCATTCGATGTTTATTGCTTTTGATGAACTGAGCAAATCCATTAATTCTACTTGTTTATCAGTTCTTGATATGTTGATTGTTTGTGACGTTTTCATTTGCAAGGTTGCTATTTTTCCAACTTATTCGATGATCATGACGCTTCAGCTGATCGTAATCGAACCAGTTCAGCAACGATCCTTTCCTATTGTTATAATACCACTTGGATCGTTGTGGTTATTGAATTTAACCTAATAAGGAAATTTTTCGATGTTTCAATGAATTTCAAACTAAAATGCTTCAGTGAATTTCGGAAAAACGCTTTCAACGTATGTGAATTGACATGGAAATTGAGACCACTTAACTCTTCACAAAATCACAAAAATTCCTTCGACGTCCTTTGTCTTCGAAATTCCACGAATTGCCCTCCGAGCATTACAACAAAATACCATCTCGAATTAGTGATTGATATGTTAATTGCTTGTGACGTTTTCATCTCCAACGAGTTTAGCTTCTATTCGGAACGATTCGTGGTGGAACTTGCTGTGGGAGTGTACGAAATTCAAGAATACACTTTACTGCATCTATCATAACCGAGGGTTTCCCTACTGGTGCAGATTACAGTTTTCTATTGTACTGCTCAAAAAAGAGCATTGATTGAAGAGTTGCACAGAATTTCTGCTCTAGAAATTTGATCTCTGGATGTGATTGTATTTGATTGATTATTTCAACTTCATATATTTGGACGAGGAAAGAGAGGGAATGGGAGCATTTTGCTTCGGGTGAATTGACTTCGTGAACAAAAGCAACTTTAAGAGGAAACTAGTTGCGTTGAATGAAAGAATTACGGGTTTAACTGCATGTTCTGCATGCTCAATGGTATCTTATTATGAGTGATCAGACAACATTCGATCGATGTATCGGGAAAACAAAACTAATGGTAGATTTTATATTTTCTGTATTGAATGAATGGATATGCAATCGTGAGTCATCAAGAAACAGCTAAAGTTCTCATAAATCCTGTTAAAATGACTCTTTGCTAGGAACACGTTTGCCGTCATTCTAGAATCTGTTGTCTTTTGATCATGGGAAGAAAAACGTCTAAAATTGGGAGAATATCTGGTGAGTAATTGCAATGAAATGCTGTCCTCTTTGTTACGTGAATTCGATTTGAAGATTCTTCTGAAGATGAGAATTGAAAATGTCACGATCGAACCTCGTTCATTTCTTCTAAAAACGCATTTGCATTCAGTTCAGGTTTCCTTGCTTTGTGATACGTTCGAAGCACAAATTCGCTTCATATGGGAGCCTTTTTGCTCCTCTTCGGTATATGAGCGAGGAGCATTACAGTCATTAGACCGATGTCTTTAGTTCAACAATCAGTTGAAATATTGTCAAATCAAACTGAATTAATTGCTCAATTTTGTGCGTTTACATGGCAATAATTTCATCTCTAACGAAACGCATACAATTCAGAAGTCGTTTCATGAAACAACGCAGGGTGGGGATTATATAAATGATCTCACATTTGATTGATTACTAACATGCAGTAGATTGAGTCATTCTGTCACATTGATGCATTTAGGTTGAAATAAAAGAACAACCGTTGACCAATATGTGGGTGTGGGTATTGCGCGATCACCATTCTATCATTCGCGTTTTCGATGCATCGTTTGGTAATCTTTAGGAAGTGGGCCAAGGTTTTCCTTGTTATTATCAGCGTTCTGCTGAGAAAAACAGTTGATAGCAATCATAGAAAGAAGTGGATATACAAGAGCAGATCGATGATGATAACTAATGGTCAATCTGATTCTTTGACTTGAAGCGCCTATCGATGCATCATCGGTGTTTGTATGGAACCGAGTAGATGAATGGCAAAGAGTATCCCTCTTAACATTCAAATATGAGTCAAATATACTGAATATCTTTTTAAACCCACGAAATTCCATCGCTTTTTCGAGGTTAATCCTGTGATTAAGGAGTGGACCGTGAACTTCGACGACTGTCCACGCATTCATGAAAACAGATCTAGTCAATCGATTGTTAGATCGTAGATGAAATACAACACATATTGCGTTTGCTTCATTGAATGCAGGGAACGTGATGCAAAATTATCATCATCTTCTACGAATGTTTGAAATTGAAAAAACTTCCCTAAAACAGCGTAAACATTTCTCAAGTTCTTAATCGTATGGGATTTGAACAAACTAGATATTTTTGTAACAATAGATATTTTTTTACATTTCAGATTTAGTGCGCCATTTTTTTGGATTCCTATTCTCACGACAATAATCAGTACGATTGGCTTGCTCAATTTCAAAGAAGAGAATCGGATTTGGTTTTTGTACAGTCCGTCGAGTGCACCATCGCACTATGAGCACGCTTTGGCCAGTGAATTTTTCAACGACAGAGGTGGGAAATTTTGGGCTGAGGTCAGTGCATCGATTCATCGTTGAACGTTCTTAAAATCAATGCGAATGATTGAAATTCTGCTTGCATACAGACTCATTCTAAAGTGTTGCAACAAACGCTTTGTAGACGTTTAGAGACCAGAAAACTCACTTATCCACGTAATCTTGAATAGTTTCATGACATTGCTCACAAAATCAAGTTTTTCACTCGATCGATTTGCAGATAATATAGGTGTAAACTTATGCGTTTGACTGATCGCATTGTTCAGCGATTTGTGTCTGCTTTCGAAACAACTAGTTTGTATTCNCTCGACTGAGCAATTATCACCGAAGCACTGCAGAAAACAACTTATTTACCATTCGACTCTTCATCAGTTATTGATGTCATTCAAATATGCGAACAAACCATTTCCGAACCATTGAACATATAAAACTTTGAAATTTATGAACCATACTGTTGAACTCAAAACCGTTAAACAGACATTCTTCAAGCATGTGCATGTAGTCGAGCCACTTTCAATGGTCATCGTACACGAGCGAGGCACATTCGATTTCTTTTATCTGTAAACGAGATCCTAAATTTTCATGTCAACTGACTAAGACTGAATCGAAAAGAAACGAAAGAGACAGTGACAGCTGATAGTGATCTGCGACAGATCGATTGACCGATTAAATTTCCGATAACATTTCTTATTTTTAGATTCCGATAACATCAAGAGATTCCGGAAATCTGCTACGTGATGGTTATTTAGAGGAGGTGGAAAGTGTGGCTAACTTTCTGCAATACAATCTCACAGTTCCATGTTCCCTTACGACATCCGGGCAGTGTTCGTTCCAGGACTTTTGCTCGGGGTCATGCAATGATAATCAGGTTTTTGTTCGCATTTCGCATGCTGCGCAGCTGAAAAAAGCAGTCGCGTTTTTTCACCTGTTTACTGGAATATAAAGTAGAACTGAGTAAAGACAAAAGATAACTGACGGTCTTTTGACACATCAAGCATCGATTGGCATGTGGTGTATTCTTTGGTTGATTGCAGGTGATCCCGATATTTCGTCTGATTTATCGGAATGTATCACGTCGTCTGCATCCCAACTTTCGTCTCACCTACCCCACAATGCATATTTACAATGATGAGTATTATGTGGGTGAACATTTTTCGGGCGTTTCAGTAGACAAGAAAACCAATCGTATCAGGTTATTGATGATTCCAGTCTTCTCTGTTTGATTCTCTTGATTATTCTGGTGGTTAGGGGCAACAGATTTTGAGATGTTCTTTTTTTCAAAACCGAACCCCAACGAATACTTGAAATCGTATGCGACACTCAAAGAATTTCCCTATAGTTATATAATGACTGTGTGAAATTCTAGCGATATTCGGGTGATCGTTCTGTATTTCCGAAGTGATCGTAAAAATGAAATTGTCAGCGAACTCATCAACAGGTAACGTCCAACTGATTTCATCAATCAAAATGTTGATCCAACTGGAAATGCTCCCCGGTTGGAAGCCTGTTTAATAGCGTTCCGGAAGGTATTTGCTGAAATCTGAACGAAAACGAAAAAAGTCCGAAATCATTGAACGTCTACCATATTCGATGAACCAAGAGTGAAAAACTGCATTGCTAATCAAAATATTCTCTTCGTTCTTAACGGATTCCGATTTCAGCTGGCAATCTCGTCTTCTCAGCCACGTGAATTCGTTTTACAATCCTTTCATAAATGTCAGTTGCAGCAGCGATGATTTGTTCTCGAGTGAGGTTCGTTTCACTCCCCCAAAGATTTTTTCTTCTATTCAGTCTGTTACATGATCGCATAA